CGGCCCCCAAGGCAGCATCAATACTAACTGTTTGTACAGCTGGTTCTGAAAGACTTAACAAGGTTATGTATAAAGTGACAGTTCGCACACTCTGGGAGTCTTATGAACCCTGCTGCCTTTGCTATGTCACACTTTACATCATTCATTTTTTCCCTCCAGTTAAATAAACTCTGATCTCTTCACAATTAAATCAGGTCTAGTTTTGCAAACCTTATTAGCTCTCTCAGTGTCTTTCATTCCTTTATATTATTCCTTATATGTTGATAAGCTAGTAACACATTAGTAACCCAACTTGGCAATTGGGCTAAAGAGCCCAGCAAATTCCTATAGGCAGGTACCAAACTATTAGAAGAGATTGATGCCTCTTGAAACTTAGCCGCCCATTTTCCCGGAATATTATCACTACAAAACCCGAGCTTTTAATAGTTATTAAACTGCCAACCCAAGATTTTGCAGGACAAAAAAAATTCAATAAACTTTCTATTCAGAGCAGTTCATTTCAAGGTATACCAATAGCATTGGCAAAAGACTTAAATATAAAATGCTATTTCAGCAACTTAGTTATATCTAAACACTGTATGTGTTTGAAAACAATACATCAGAATATAGGAAAAGCCAAGCACAATAGCTCTCAAGGAGACAAGGCAATTTTAAAATCAATAGAAGCATGAAAATAAAAAATGAAATTGTTTTGCTGCCATTACACTTTCTGTCATGGCATGATGACCTCCCCACATAATTATTATCTATGTTAAGAAAACAAAACCAAAATCTCTACACAAACCTCTAAAAAGGTGCCCCAAACCCTTGCCTTAATGTATTTTTCAAATTATTTCATTCAGAACAAACAGAACTAAATGATACTAATGAAAAGAAGAAAAGACAGTCAGATGGAGAGCAAACAGTACCAGACCTCACAGATGACACTTATTTTCATATAAGGCAAGAATGAACATTGGAAGCAGATGGAACATTTGAAGCCCAACAGCAGTGCAAAGTCACTGTACAGAGGAGCTTTAGGAAAAACAAAATTCCAGCGCTTCACAAAGGGGTTTTTCTCATTTGTTGGTTTAACTACCTTTAGTCTAAACTCATTTTACAGAAGTGCGTTTGGGATCCCAGCAATACAGTTCAGTGCTTCCTTAGAAAGATCACACACCCTCATTTATTCCCCGTCTGCCTTTTTCACCTGCTGTACTTCTCTCCCACTGAAGTTTATTGTTGGCTTTCTGGAGTTCACAGGAAGCGTTAAAGATAGCTCGCTACCTAGCACATAGGTGACTGTGTATTCATGTTGATCATTTAGTCCTATTTATATAGCTAATTAAAAAGGAGCACATATTAACTCAAGAGAACATCCAGAAGCAATGGCTGCAGAAATGTATGACTGCAAATAGGAGTGAATACTAGCAAGAGAAAGGGATGGAGGACACCTTTGAGTTAATTTTGGGAAAGCAAATTAATTTATTTTCAGGTTTTGCTCAGTATTGTAAACATAACTTTTAATTAGTATTGCAAACATCTACTAAAAGTATCATCAACAGATGGTTTCTCTTTAAGTTCATACATGAATTTACATAAATAAAATCAATAATTCAATTTATGCCACATTTCCCCTAGAAATTACAGTATCAACTGTATTTAATAAGGTGCTGTAGATGAAAGTTTATAAAAATTGTTCTACTGTTTAGCTCAGTATGAATGACATTATTAAAAAGTTAACAAACGTGTCACTACTTGATTAAAAACACTATTTCAATTAGAGCTAGTATAGACAAAAGCTATAGCTTTTTCCCTATGCACAATGTTTCAGATCTAAATATTTGCATCTTCCTTTTGTGTAAATGCTCTTTAGGATTATGCTCAGATCTCTCTGAATAAACATTGCATTCCTCAATAGAAGCCTAATTCTGACAGAGAACTTCAACCGTCTCTACAATATAAACATGCTTATACACACATGCAACAGTTCGTGTATGTACACAAGCATAATGCCATTAATGACAAGAAGAGATTCATAATAATTATGCATTTAAAAGTAATCTCTTCTATCTCACTAATTTTATTATTTCCAAACTCAGTGCTTTGAGATGATGATGATTTATAGCTTTGCACAATGATGAACAAAATGGCGGTAGAATGCTCTACACTAAGCCCTGCCAACTAAGCAAGTAACAACTTCCCTCAAACCAAACAATCCCTTTCAACATTTATAGACAGTAGCTCAAGACAGTCAGTCAGGAAAATCCCTAGTTTCAAAAGGCTGTAATCAATAAATAAGAATATCAGCTGAAGTACAGTTGAAAGTGTCGCCATAAAGGATGAGAAGGAGCTAAAGAGACAAACACCCTTCAGAAAACTTCCCCTCTCCCTACAACACATGAAGTAAAGTTTTGCATTGCTGTTGGCATGAGCTTATGTTGTCTTCCAGCTTCAAAAGGTTGCGTACACTGTTAGTAAGGAATTGAGCTTTGAGTAATACATCTTAAAGATTATTACCGTGTCTTCGCAGGAAAAGAGAAAAATGCTTATGTAGCAACGACTATAAATAGAATGTGAAGGCTGGATTTGCAGATTCAGCAGACAGTGTTTGGTTTCACAGAAATTATATAGATATTACAAGTATTATGATTTAAAGAAGTTACATACGTTCTCCAAATTGTTCCAAAACTTACTGGGATGAAATCTCTTTGGGGAATTTTTATTTTATTTATTTTATTTTTTTAAACCCAAACCACAGCCATTCCAGCACAGGAAAGCATATTTCTTATTGGACTAACTTTCCTTAGTATATTTCCCCATGGCAAAGGTAATAGATCACATGGAAATTACATAGTTCTAAATTTCTCAGGTTTAGCTGCATAAAAAAGAGGCTTCAAATCACAGAAAGTAATTTTTAAGCTTATGTACTTGAATACTTGCTTTTATTCTCAACTCTTCAAAGATTTAAGAACAAAAAAACAGTACAATAATTCTAACTTCTGGGCTCTTAGTAATGGCCAAAAATGGTGTGGCCTCACCTAGTAAAGAATGGGAAGGAGAAGAGATGCAGGAGAGGGAAAATATATGGGAATTTATCCAGACTTTTGATTTGCGCTGAACGTCATTCAAAAGAACAAGCACTACTATTTTGCATAAATTGCGTATTTATGAATCCAGGTTTATGTAAGTCTGTAAATAGTTAATATTTCAATAAACCCATAATATTTTAAATACTGGAAATGCATAAATATATTTTGTTTAGGTCCCTCAGTTAGTTATACTAATCTTTTAGCCATATACCAGGCCTGTAGCTGCAAAGGATCATTACTTTTTTATAAACAATTAGAGTATGTATCTGCTGTAAAAATTTCAAAGGAGTTAGGGAGGAAGAAATATTTTCTTAAATTTTATTTCCATTTGAAAGGCAACTTTTTTTTTTTTTTTAAGTTTATCTAGCAACGATAGACATTAAAATATTCATCCATTTAGGACAAAAGTGAGTTGTCTTGAAATGAAACAACCCTGATTTGCTATAGTACAGTATATAGTATAGCTTTTTGTATCAGTTTTTCATTCCCATCTTTCAAAAATCTCTATAAGACTTTGTAAGAAATACTGCTATATATTCCATAGTAACTGTCAATTTTTAAAAATAACTCAAAGTTCAATCACAATCTCCCATCTTCACAATTATATTAGTATTGCAACCAGCTCATTGAAATGCCCACATTAGAACAACAAATACATTCTGAGACCAGAATTCACGTCAAACAGCAGCAGACTGTACTGTGTAGAACGTATTTACGCACACCCACATGACCAGCTTCCCCTTTTAATAAAGTCTTTAACTAAATGGAGCATTTCTCCCAGTTAATTACTTCATTTCCCATAATTTCATGTGCCCATAAGAAAATGGGGCATATATGCTAACTATGACAACAGAAACTGCAAAATATCACCTCATCATTAACGGTGTAAAGCTAAGAAAAAGAGCACAATCAAAGTCTTATAGGTTCCAAAAGCTCGCATTTAAAGCCAAATGTTAAAACCCTTGCATCTTGTCTATTACAAATTTTCAGTTCTTCACATTTATAAATTATTTTTTAATTCTCTTTGGTACTACACAAACAATAATATAATTTTAAGACTCTAAAAAACTGCAGTTTTCAACTATACGCAGTATAACTTATATAGACAGTGCAATGGAAAACATTTTAGAGAAGTTAGTAAATTAATCCTAACACCTCTAATACAACATTGTAAGCAAAAATGGACATCTCAAAATAGTTAGCGTTTCTTAGGATTAGATGGACAAAAACTGTGCTTTGATTTGCATAGTTCAGCTCTACATTCTGCTGGTGGTGTCTAACACCCCACTGCCCCCGCCCCTGATACGAGGCTGCCTCTAGAGCTTCCAGATCCATTTTGGCAGGTGTTTTTGAATGCATATGTTCGTGACTGGATTTTTAAAATTTATTTTTATTTTCCAACACAAACAAAAGCAATAATCTTTCCCTGACATTCAGCCCCACACTTTTTCCTCAGCATTTAGATGTCTAAACATTCTCTCCAGTCCTGCCTACATAACATTTTAGGGAAACCAACAAAGTAAACTCCATCAGCCAATGTAACTGTATGCAAAACTTGTAACAACTCATCCCAACAAGAAGAAATATGTCTAGAGAGATATCAGAAATTAAAGTTACAGATTTAACATGCATACACACCCACAAAAGAGGGAATAACAGAGATTGTTTTTCAAGATTATCTATAGCAGGCATTACGAAGCTTCCAATGGAACACATAAAGCTATTATAAAGCTAATACAAAGAATCACCAATTCTACCAATAAAATCAGAGATAATTGATTTATGAAAATCGTTTTAAGATAGTGCACATAAACTTCTATGCAAATATTATTACACATATTTATGTCTGACTGTACAGCTACGTACACAATAAATGTAAGAAATAATATTCAACGTGACAACATTAGTCATTAGATATTAACTACTTACTATTAAGAGCCATAATATTGTCTGTTCCTGGATGATGGAAGTTTATTCCCATACGCCCTGCAATATAAATAAAAGCTACTTTTAATGTTTTTATTTCCAAACTGAATTAAATTTATTAATATGAAAAGTTGCTAAAGAGGATGAACAGTCCGGGTAGCCAAATCTTCCATCTACTGAAGACAACTTCCCAAGAATACACATTTAAGATATTTAACACTGTAGTACCTTTACTGTTATGTACTTAAAATACTGAAAATCACAAAATAAACGATGAAATAATTATTTTTTAATACATCCCTTTGCTTTGCGCTAGGAAAGTATTACATTTACCCTTTCAAAATAAGGCCTCAAAGTTCAACCTTGCTGCAGTTATGCCATTTGTAGTAGGCTTCAAATAATGAGTACAGCATTACAAAAACTCCACTTAATCAGCAAAAATAAATCACTATTTTCCATACTGCCTGTGACACCAGAAGCTCTTGAGTTAACAGATCATTGGAGACAGTATGCTTACGCTGTTGTTGTATTCTTTCCTAAGAATCTGCTATCGCTTACTATTTGAGATAAGATATTGGGTTAGCAGGACCATTGTTCTCATGGAGTACATTCATATGTACTTTGAAAAATATTTATTCTTGACCATATATGGGACCATCATATACAGAAGGTTCACCATGAAATTCGAATGAACTCTGCTGGTGTCAGTTTCCAGGAAGCTAGAGATGCAAAATAGTACCGATTTTCTCAGGTGAGATTTAACAATTGAAAGGTTGGCTTAAGAAGATCTCTGATGACTTCAGGAACTGGAAGCGGGAACAAATTCACACACGGTTATTTTGTTTCAAAGGAGAATTAGTCCACTGAAATCTACTTTTACTGTCAAAGGAAGAAATGAGCCAACTCTACTACTGTTCAGACTAGTTTTAGGTACTATTTAACTGAGCCGAAGTATTAAAAACTTACCCTGAAGAAACTTTGTAACAGGACTTTCTTAATTAAACCCCCCGAAACAATTTGAAAGCTCTAATTGATATTAGTCCTTGTTTGGAAAAAGATATAAAAGGATCGTTATAGCCACATAAAAATGTATTCCAATTAAATAATGTAAGTAACTTAAGTTACTTACAAGTGTTGTAATCCATTTCATATGCTCTCTCTAGATTTGTGGTTAAGTTCAGGAGTTAAGGAAGCAGGCAGTTTACATTTCTTCACTACACTGGCACTCAAATATGGGAGCTCAAGACCCACTCGCTATACTGAATAACCAATATAACCGTTAAGTTCCTGTAGTGTAAATTCTCTTCCATACTTCTGCAAAACCAAGTCTTAACAAATAAGCTTTGACAAAGCAGAACTAAAGCCAATCTTCTCCAACATTTTTAGTTCCTATCAATAAGTTAAAGCCTTCTATTTCAAGTCACAGAGACTGCTGTGCTGTAATTAATATTCTTTCTGAACAGATGCAACATGAAGTTTCAGTACACTTCTGAAACTGTCACAAGCAGTTTAAAAAAAACCATATATTTATTTTCTTCACAGAATTCTCTCATTCTTTTAGAAAAAAGTGCCACCACAACAAGACTATGAAGCAAAGAGCACCTCCAGAAAGAAGTGGGGGCAGAAAGAAGGTAAATAAAATTTCCATTTTTACTTTCCAACTCCTTGAGCAACGCTTCTTAAAGAGATCTTCATTAATTACTTCAGATTTCCTAATTACAGACATAATTCTCCTATATGTATTTTCACATTAATCTGACACTGCAGAAACATTAAAGCTGCTACTATTTCAGTTAGTATAAGCTTGTGCTAAAATATTCCAGAAATCTTGCCAGATTGACATTAATTCCCTTTTCCTTAACAGCATATTAATGAGCGTGAGGTTACAGGTACTACTTGTAAAGAGAAAAGGTGTATACAATAATTTATACTTGCAAACTAATACTTGTAATGGAAAAAAGGGAACTGCTAGGAAAAACCTAGAGTAAAATTTGAATGCATAATGCTTGGATGGGCCCTTCTCTTTTCCTTAGCTGAAGCTGAAATTCTGCTGTTTGACCAGCTTCAGAAATAGAATCGTATCTGTGACATCTGGGTTTGGTTTTTTCCTCCCTCCAGGCTGTCACTGGACCAGGTGCTGCTTGTGTGACATTTGTCACCTGCCCTTGGCCTGCTATTTTTAAACAGTTCTTGTCAGCTATCTTTTAAGAGGAGCAGAAAATACAGAGCAGCACAAGCAGAAGGACATGTTCTCACGCTGAGCTAAGCAACAGCGTGCGATAATTCTGTGCATCTTCAGAGGTCCCCTAGTGCAATTCTATAGCAACAAATTAATGGAATACTTTCAAAACACACCTGTATGAAAAGCATTCAAAACAACGATTGGTAATGCACCAATCGTAAGACAATTAGTTACCAATAATTATATAGCCTTTCATATTAGCTACAACATTTGAATATCTTGCTGTTTGAAGGACATAACTGAAAAAAGAGGCCATATGAGATTACAAAACTGCATAATTATCTAAGGAACAAGAAGAGAGCACAAAAACGAAATTATAAATTTATTCATTTAAAGGTGTGATTTAAAACTGGGAAATGTAATTAAGAATATGTACTTTCAAAGACATATTTGGGTTAAACATAGAAACAACTATCGGAAAACAATCAATTTTAAGAAAAGCACATGTATGCTACCTGGACCTTTACGAAGTCTATATAAGCACATATTTGTAATTACAGTTTTAAAATGAAATCTCTGGATAAAATTTCTACTTTTCAAGAATCTTAAGCACAACAAGCAGAAACACAGAGAAGTTAGAGCACAGAAGTTACGGACTCCAGCAGTTCACTGAAGTCATAAACAGGAACCCTTCCAGTAACAACATCCCCAGTACTTGTATTCAGCGTACATCTGCCATTTTCAGTTTGCCTGTCTTGGTTTCATAACTATCTACTGAGTATATTTTCAATTATGTGCTCTTATAACACACACTTATATTACTGCCGTTAGGCTGCAACGATAATCACTCTTTTACATAAGTCTTTTCAATTCCTAAGTTAAAAAAAAGAAATCCAGTTGTATACTTCTTGGTTTTTAAATATTTCAGAGTATAAATGAGAGTTTAATGATTCTTGTATAGCCCGGGCTGCTCTTTTGCGTATCTTAAGTCATTAAATTCCTTAAATTCTCTCTCCTAACAGCATTTGGAGAGACTTTTCTGGCTGGATTGCCTAAGTGCTCTGCTGCATGCCCAATATGATGCTTGTCATGGCAGAGAGCCCAATTCCTTCTTAGAGCACATCTCAAGTATGTGCATCTTCTCCTCTGTATTGTATTGGAAATAAGATGATGTTAAATAGAATTTAACTTCACCTCATTCTTTGTAGAAAAGTCATGATTTTGAAACAATTCTGAAATCTTTCCAGTAACTTAAGGAATTATACCCTTCCCACATGAATCTCTTTATTAAATCTTTCACAAATATATAATCTGATTTTTTTTAATTGTCTAGATAATTTCAAGTTACATGAACAGTTTTGAAAAAGAATGTTGTTCCAGAAATAACAAACCTGGATATCAGGCACAGTTTTACCACTATTGCAGTTTTTTGACAGTGTTTAGTGCCAGGCTTGCCTATAGTGGTCCCTTTAACCTCAACTTTAAAATCCACTGTTTTTAGCAGATATTCAAGCTTATGAGCACAATCTGTTTACAAGTAAGTGTAAAACTGATCTTTGATTTAATCTTCATATATATGTGCTGGTATTACCATTATTTTCCCATGTCTGAAACAAACACCAGTGATTAACCAGTTCCAGATCTACAACTACTGTTTTTGCTTTAAGAGATTTCTGAATTAATTTTCTCTTTTTATTCATTTTCTCTTCCTAAGTGCTCTATGGTTTTTTTAACTTGTGAAATCGTAATCAGCTCCTGGACATGAACACTCACTCAGTGAAGGATTTTTAAGATTACAGTTACCTATTCTCATCATTTTCATGTTACAATCAACGTTCCAAGAAACGATGTTCATTGGTTATATATTGAGTAAAACTTCTTGCACTGTTATAGCTCATGTCTTTCATCAAGATCAACCACTTACACCAATTCAGCAATTGGTATTTGGCATAAGATTTGCTAGAAAATAGCAAAGCTGGCCTGCTTTTGACCTGTCCTGAACTTACTGGGAATGAGAACTTCCTCTCGCATAGTCCTTAAGATCACTGTTGATATCAATTACAAGTTATGACTAGACACTCCACTGGCAAGGTCAAATGAAACTGGCAACAGGATTAGGTCTGCTATACTTCCTTAGTAATAATACATCCTTTATCATTCTTATCTCTTCTATCAAATGATTTCAAAGTTGGTGCCAACAAAAGGCATTGCAAAACACCAATAGTTATTTGGATGGACAGGTAGCAAGTGGGGTAGAGCAAAATTTTGACACAGGAAAGTGCAAAAATCAAAGCAAGACCACTATTCCATCGAACATCTGAAACAAGAAGATTATTTTGAGCTGTATGTATTTGGGGGTCTAGTTTACAGCACAACCTAACACACACCCCCCACACACACACCCCCCCATGCCCCAGCTCAACCGTGAGTCTTTGCTCCATGATTCAAATGGCCAAAAAGCATGAAGCATGTGTGTGTATATAAGAATTTTAATCATTTTTACCTGAGTAGACCTCAGACCATTCTCTCTCCTCTTCCCCCCAAAATACAAACAACTGAAACTGATACTACACTAACTCAACATACATGCCCAAAACAATTTCAAAAGCAAGAACTGTGTAAGCAAGGGTATGCATAAAGAGTTATAAACATAAAAGGTAACTCCCTGAAGAAGGTTGTTGGCTTTTTTTCTTTTTCCTTTCCCCTCCCCCACTCATGTTTTTTAAGTCTACCTGCCATTTGTTCACACCCATAATTTAAACACCTACTTGGGACTTACATATCTTTTACACATTAACATACTCAGCAGAACAAAAATACTATTGTTTGCCAGAAGGGAAATATGAAGAAGTATTACTGTGTTTACACGTATATATTT